CTTCTTTGGCACCTGCCCGGTGGGGGGGGGGGGGGGAATTCCTCCTGAACCCCCCTGGGTCGGTCAACCCTCAGCCCCAGGGTCTTCTGAAGGAGCTCTTCTCCCGGGGGCCTCCCCTGGTTCAGGGGCTGAAGAGGCTTCCAGTTTCCTCTCTTCGGTGGCAGCCCCCCCCCCCCTCTGGGCCCCGCCGTGGGGGCCTCCCTTCTCGACCTCCCCTAAGTCCCAGGCACTGCCCGGTCCCTGCGCACCCTTTATTCCTGTCAACGTCTACCGCCTGGGACCCATTCACAGCCAGGAATGGGGCTAGCAGGGGCGTTGCACCCAGACTAGGTGATCTTATGATTTATACCCAAATCAGGACACTTCGAGATGGGAAGGGAATACAGCCCATGATTATGGGGGGCCACTGGGCCTGTCCCCAGCCAGCCCTACGGTCCCTCATCTTTGCCTGTCTCCGGGGTTACCGCCTAAGGTCCAGCCCAGCGGTCTGAGTGTCCCCATTTAACTGAGGCTGCCTGAGGGCGAGGCCATTAGCACCCTCTCCGGGACCCGGCACAAGCACCGAGCCAGCACGGGCAGCTCCGAATTTCTCTGAGGCTGATGGATTCCCCAGATACTCTGCTATCAAGAGGCTTGTGCTGCCCTAACCGGTTTGGCTCGGTGGATAGGGCGTTGGCCTGCGGACTGAGGGGTCCCAGGTTCGATTCAGGTCAAGGGCATGTACCTTGGTTGCGGGCACATCCCCAGTGGGGGGTGTGCAGGAGGCAGCTGATCGATGTTTCTCTCTCATCGATGTTTCCAACTCTCTATCCCTCTCCCTTCCTCTCTGTAAAAAATCAAGAAAATATATTTTTTTTAAAAAAAAGATTCTTGTGCTGTGGGAGGCGCCCTCCTACCAGGGCTGCTGGGCTCATCTGCAATGGCATGGCCTGGCCTCCAGGGGGCGTCTCTGAGCCAGGGCCACACAGGTCCCTCCAGCCCCAGATCTGAGAACCAGCCCCCAGGGCGGCCCCTCACCCTCCGGATGTAGGCGCTGGCTGGCACTGGGTATGTGACATTGTTCATGGTGAAGACGATGTCAGGCAGGCTCTGGACGTCATCGCAGCTGACGATGTACTGTGAGAGAGAGGGAGGGGGGTTGGCCCCGCAGGTCCTTCTGTGTGTGGGGAGCCCAGGGTGACCCCGGGGCGTGACCCCTCACCTCCCCGGTGCTGGTGATCTGGGCGTTGATGCTTTTCAGAATGTCTAGGACAGGGTCGGGTGGGCCAATCAACAGCGAGACCCCGGTATCCACGATGGCCTGGCAGCCGCCGGGACAGGCCACGACCGTCCCATTCATGGAGATGCTGAGGGACAAAGCAGGCACCAGGGTCATTCGTGGCCTCTCCCCCCGTGGCCCTCCCAGCTGCCTGCAGCACAGCCTGCAGCTCCTGCCGTCCTGTCTCCCTGTATTGGGCCACACCGACCTTCCTGGACGGACTTCCTCTCAGGTCTTGAATGCCTTGTGCTCTCGGTGCCTCAGGGCCTTGGCACGCGCTGTCACCCTTCCTGGACCCACCCTGTACCCTTTGTCTGGCTGATTGCTCCTGTCCTCCAGAGTCCAGGTCAGTCGCTACTTTTTCAGGGAAGTGACCCCCAGAGGAGATCAGGCCCCTCTCCCCCCAAGACTGGACGGCAAACCCTCCTGGTGTCCAGCGCGCACAGGGTGGGCACTCCCCATGGCTGCGACACGGTCCCTCACGCCTGTCTGCCTGCTGGTCGGGAGAGCAGGCTGTGCCCTCAGTGCCCCCTCCATTGCCCGTGCCCAGCGCACAGCGCATGCTCCACTGTGTTTGCCGAGGGAATGACAGGGCACATGAAGGAATGAGGGTCAACTGGAGACACGGACCTGCTGTCCGGCCAGTGATGAAAGCCACACGGTTAAGACGGAGGTTCCCGGGAAGCAGAGGCTTGGAGAGGAGGCAGGGAGTGTGTTGTTCCCCCGCTGCCTCGCCCCCCACCAGTCCCCTAGCCGGGCGACGCCTGAGCCGGCCCAGGGCGCTGACGTGGGCTCCGGAGCACAGTTTAGGCCTCTGTGTGACAGTATCACGCGGCCCCCTCAGTGATCACCCCTGGTCTCAGCCTCCCCGGTCCCCGCTCCTGGTGTCCGAGACGTAGGCCCAATCCCGGTTCTCTGGTCAGGACCCTGGTCAGGGCGGTTATGAACCTGTGTTGGGGTGCGTGCCCGTGCGTGTCTGTGTCTGTCCGAGTGTGTGCGTGTGCACTGTGCCTGCAGGTGCGGCTGTCACTGGTGTGGCCCTCAGCGGGGGGTGGGGGGTGCTCACCTGTCCACAGTGACCTGCCAGAATTCTTGCTCGCTCACCGGCACCCACTGGAGCTCGCCCCTGTAGTAGGAGTGATCCACGCCGCCGAACATCACCACGCTGCCGTTCCTGTTGTTGTTGTGGGGGGGGGGGGGCGGGGAGAGGGCTCTTGTGAGGGGAGGACGGTGGGTGGCGTTTCTCCAGCTCAGTGACCGGAGTGGCACTGGCCAGCGGCCACTTAGCCTCACAGCGCAGGGCCCCGCGGAGCAGGCACTGCCGTGACCCCCACTGTTCAGAAGGGAACTGGGGCAGGGGCACCGAGCACGGCCCAAGGTCAGTCCCCTGGCTACTGAGGAGCACAGCCAAGCTGTGAACTTGAGATTCTGGCTGGGCTTGGGCCACCCGCCTCTCTGAGGCCGGCCAGGTCCCCTCCAGCAGCCGAGCGCTCCAGGCACAGCCTGAGGCTGCTGTGCGGAGGGGTCAGGCTCCCCCAGGCCGGTCACAGGTCTACGACACACCAGCCCCCCCCACCCCCCCATGTTGAGCTCCTGCTCTCTCTCCAAAGAGGCTGACAGCCTCGCCCCTGGCCTCCGTGCCTGCTCTCTGGTCCACCATTCTCCAGCCAGCGCCTGGGGGGAGCTTTCAGAAACAGAGATGGGATCATGTCTTCTCCCTGCCTAGGTCCCTGCAGAGGCCTCCACTCGCACCTAAAACCAAACCCCTGGGGCGGCCTTGCCCCTGCCTGCCCCTCAGACTCCACGCCTCCCTCTGCCTGCCTCCCTCCCTCCCTCCCTCCCTCTCAGCGCTCCAGCCACACTGCCCCTTGCCAGTCCTCTGTGTGCCTGGGCCACTTCCTCTCCCCCCTCGCCCGGCCTCAGTTCAGAGAGGTCCTTGCACTGCCCGTCTGAAACCGCGCTCTCATCTCTGTCGTCCTATCACCATGTTTTCCCGCTTTCCCGGAACCAGTCACTGCCCGGCATGTGTTATCTTTTCCTTTTATTTATTTACTTGCTCCTTGTCTGCCTTTTCTCCCTCTCACCTGTCTCCATCACGTGCACAGAGCAGTACCCAGCACATAGTAGGTGCTCAATGAATATTTGTTAAACGGCTCACCTCCTTGATTTGGTACAAGCACCCCAGAGGCTCAGCTCATGCTGCAGAGCCTGGAGCTCAGGCCCCCACAGAGCCCACAGCCTCACCCACACTCTGCATCCTACACACGGTCTGCCCGCCGGGTCCCCCTCCAGCCTGTGCTGCTCCCTCCACCCCCTCCAGACCCTCAGCCAGCCAGGGAGCTGAGCGTTTCCACTGCCGGCCCAGTGACTGGAGACCTGCTGATGGCCTGACCACCCAGCAGAGGGGACAGTCCCGTGGCCGAGCTCGAGTCCTGCCACTGCCAGTGTTTGGCTGGGCCATTTTGTGCAAAGCTCCTCTCTGAGCCTCAGTTTCCCCATCCATCAAAGGAGGGACTAGAAATACAGGGGTTGGCAAACTTTAGAAAATGCTAGATTATGCCCTAGCTGGTTTGGCTCAGTGAATAGAGCATTGGCCTGCAGACTGAAGGGTCCCGGAATCGATCCCTGGACCTGGACGGGGAGCACATCAGAGGAAATCAATTGATGTGTCTCTCTTGCATCGATGTTTCTCTCTCTGTGTCTCTCCTCCTCCCTTCCACTCTCGCTAAAAATCAATGGGAAAAAAGTCCCCGGTTGAGGATTAACAACATAAAATAAAAATGCTAGAGTGTCAACATGTTGGGCTTCGCTGGCTACGCGATCTCTATGGCAAGTGCTCGATGCTATCATTGTAGCACAGAAGCAGCCACAGACAGGATGTGACTTAAAGAGCAGGGCTGTGTTCCAATAAAACTTTATTTATAAAAGCAGGTGGTGGGCCACTAGTTGCTGACCCCTCGACTAGGCTGCCCCTCAGGAAAGAGGGGAGGCCAGGTCGTCTACCATTTCTCAGACGACTGAAAGCTTCCGGGCAAAGGGCCTGCCCAGCCAGGCTGATCTGCTCAGGTAGGAGGCTGACCTGCTCAGGTAGAAGGAGGCTGACCTGCTCAGGTGGGAGGAGGCTGACCTGCTCAGGTGGGAGGAGGCTGACCTGCTCAGGTGGGAGGAGGCTGACCTGCTCAGGGGGGAGGAGGCTGACCTGCTCAGGTGGGAGGAGGCTCACCTGCTCAGGTGGGAGGAGGCTGACCTGCTCAGGTGGGAGGAGGCTGACCTGCTCAGGTGGGAGGAGGCTCACCTGCTCAGGTGGGAGGAGGCTGACCTGCTCAGGTGGGAGGAGGCTGACCTGCTCAGGGGGGAGGAGGCTGACCTGCTCAGGGGGGAGGAGGCTGACCTGCTCAGGGGGGAGGAAGCTGACCTGCTCAGGTAGAAGGCGAAGAGGTTCTCAGACAGGAGGCCTTGCTTCCACAGGCTGTCGAAGATCGGGGTGGTGTCATTGAAGGCGAGGGTGGGGTAGGCCAGGCCCAGGATGCCGTCGAAGGCTGCTAACTCCAAGGCAATGCCGGACTCTGTCGTGCTCAGTCCGAATGCCTGGGATTTGCAGACAAGGTTCCTGATCTGGGGGGAGAGGGTGGCCTCATGGGAAGGTTTGGGAAGCGGAGCTGGGGCTGGGCCAGGGGGAGGTGGGTGGGGCGATGCCACCAGCACCCCAGGGATCAGCTGAGGTGTGGCTGCGCCTGGAGGTGCCCAAGCAGCACCCACTGTGCTTTGCCGAGGAGTCCCCCCCGACATCTGCCCTCCTGCCAGCACTGCCCCGGGTGGTGAAACACCCTCATCCCTGTGTATGGCTGGGGCGCCTGGGGCAGAGTGGGCCAGGCGGTTCCCCTGCAGGCCCCGTGAGCAGAGAGCGGGGTCGTCTTGTGTTTGGTGTTTCCGGGATCTGGTGGCAGAAACCCAGTGAATTCCCTGAGATTCACTGTGGATTCTGCACCCCAGGTGTACACAGGGCTGCCGAGTTCTTGTGAAAAGATTGCGTGGAGCCCTGGCTGCTTTGCTCAGTGGCTAGAGCAGCTGTGGGCAAACTATGGCCCGCGGGTCGGATCCAGCCCATTGGAAATGAATAAAACTAAAAAAAAAAAAGACCGTACCCTTTTATGTAATGATGTTTACTTTGAATTTATATTAGTTCACACAAACACTCCATCCATGCTTTTGTTCCGGCCCTCCGGTCCAGTTTAAGAACCCATTGTGGCCCTCGAGTCAGAAAGTTTGCCCACCCCTGGGCTAGAGCGTTGGCCCTTGGACTGAAGGGTCCTGGGTTCAATTCCGGTCAAGGGCACAGGCCCGGGTTTTGGGCTCAATGCATGGGGGGGGGTGCAGGAGGCAGTTGATCCATCATGCTCTCTCCTCATTGATGTTTCTATCTCTCTCTCCCTCTCCCTTCCTCTCTGAAATTAATAAAAATATATATTTTTAAAAAATAAATAAAAATGAGTCTTCCTTCAGTTCTCCCTGCTACCAGCAAAATCAGCCTTCAGCTCACCACGGGGCAAGAGCTGCAAATGCCCGCCTCCCGTGCCATGACCCGCTCGCTGGGTTGGCCACTCGGGGAGCTGTCAGCCGGGCACTGTCTCCCAGAGGCAGACGGCCAGCCGCTGGGGGGCTTGGGGAGATGGGTGCGTCTGGCTGACCCTGTATCTGGCCCCGTCAGCAGTGGGCAGAGGCCGCCAGGCCCCGCCCCCACTCACCCGCACATTGTCATAGCCCAGCAGCCCGGTCATGCTGCCGGACCCGTACACCCGCTTGATTGGCAGGTCTGCGTCCTGGAAGGTAGACGACCGCAGAGGGTCGAAGGTTCTGTGTGTCACTGCAGACGGAGAGCAGGGGTCAGTCAGCTGCCAGAGCCCGGGGGTGGGGGGAAGGGGGTGCGGGGGCGGGAGCCACAACAGGGCGCGGGCACTCACCACAGGCGGGACTGGAGCAGTAGATGGAGGGCACCCACAAGTCTGCCGAGCCCGTGTCAAAGACGACCTTGAACTTCTGAGGGGGCGTTCCAATGCTGATGGTGCCAACGTAGTACAGCTGCCGGCGGGGGAGGAGGGTGAGGCCAGGCAGGGTACCCGGGTCACGCCTGATCCCCAGGTGCCGGCCTTACCTGGAATGGCTTTCCCACCACCCCACCTCCATGGCCGTGGCTCAGGCGGTGCCTTCATTGGAAAAGTTTCCCACTTTCCCCTGCGGCTCTGTGAATCCACAGCCTTCATGGCCCCGCTGGAGTGCTCCCTTCTCCGGGAAGCCCTCCTAGGTCACCCAGGCCCCTGACTCCCAACTCAGAGCCTGTTGTGTTACTGTCACACAGGCGGCCCTTTAATTGGCGCTTATCTTCTTGCAGAACAGGCCAGACCCTCTGTGATCCACAACCGTAACCACACTGTTGGTGTGAATAGCCTCCCACGCTGGAGGGGCTCAGGGACTCTGCTGGGGTCATTCTCGGGGCTGCTGAGGCTGAGCGCCCTCTGCCTGGGGCATCCAACTGGAGTCCCCATTAAGGCAGCGATTTTGTTCAGAAGGAGCAGAATGTGTCCAACCAGCACCAGGTTCGCAGGTGCCCAGCGCCGGATCCTGGGCACCGAAATGGAGTCTGCCTGCCACCTGGTCATTGCTGAACCCAGTCACCACAGACCAAGAGCTGAGGGTGTGAGTGCCTTCTCCCCTTTGCTGCCTGCAGGAGCCCCGCCCCCACATCCTGGCTGCCACCCCTGGGTGGACCCCAGTGCTCGGCCAGCACTAGGGAAGGCTGTGCACTGCGCCCGCCACACTCACGTCCAGGTAGTTCCTCATGGACTGGACAGTGACGCGCGGCTTGCGCAGGAGCTTGTAGGCCTGGCTGTAGGGGTGCCGCTGGAGGTAGTCTCTCAGCAGGTCCCTCTCCCGCAGGTTCTCCCGCATGGACTTGATCTTCATCAGCGGGACGCTTTCAGCAGGAAAAGACAAGACATAAGACAGCAGCTCCCCATTTGTAGTTCAATGTGGCAGCCACACCTGGCCGATGTGGCTCAGTGGATAGAGCATACGCCTGCGGTCCGTAGGGTCCCGAGTTGGATTCCGGTCAAGGGCACATACCTCGGTTGCAGGCTCCTTCCCGGCCAAGTTCTTGGTGGGGGCTCATGCAGGAGGCAACCCATCGATGTGTTTTTCTCACATCGATGTTTCTCTCTGTCTTTCCCTCTCCCTTCCACTCTCCCTAAAAAAATCGATGGAAAAATATCCTTGTGTGAGGATTTATAAAAATAAAAATAAAAACTAATTGGAGATGCGGACTTTATGACAGGGAATGATTGCATTCCCTTCTCCCCCCCTGGGCGGTGGAAGGATCAGGGGACAGTGAGAGAGAGGCCGGGGACAGGGGGCCCCATACTCACGTCACCAGGCACTCGGACAGGGCCACCAGGCTGAGGAACCCGATCCACCTCATCGTGCGTTCTCCCCGCGTCACGTCCTCGGAAGGCTCGGGTGTGGACTGTGCGGGGATGGGCCAGCGCTGCCCATATATACGCTCCGACCTGCGCCTGATCCCCTGGGAGGGCTGCTGATGGCCCCGATAAAAAACTAACCTCCCGATAAGATCTTTCTTCCCATCAGAGTTCCGGATTGGGGGGAAAGGGGAGAAGGACTTAGAAAAATTCGGAATACAGAGATCTCTATCGTCATCTCCTCCTTGGGGCATGGCTGGGGACAAGCCCAAACCACATGAGCTCAGCGAGGTGGGGAGATGGGTGCTGGCTCGGAGGGAAAGCTCGCTTATCGTGTCATAAAGTAAGTGCTGGCGACCACGCTTGGCATCCTTGGTCTCATGTCCTCCTCGTAGCCACCCGGTGAGCTGCACATCGGGGAGTAGTGTGCTGGGTGGAGTGGGGGGCCCCTGGCGTAGGAGTGGCTTTAGGCGATGGCAGCTTGCAGGCCAGGCCAGGGCTCCTGAGCTCAAGGCCCAGAGAAAAGGGAAAGGAATGGAGGGCTGGGCGGGCTGCGTGGGCTCGGGCAGCTCATGCCCCATCCCATAGGGCAGCCCGGACTCAGCTCGGACGGCATAGGATGCGGGCCGGTCGGCCAAGCTTTCAAGGGGAGTCTGAAGTCTGCATATTGATGTGGATTCCCCTGATTTTTAAATGTTAGCAACTAATTAAACTCCCCCCGCCCCCCAAATCCAGCAGCTGGGGGCTGGATGCAGATGGCAGGCTGTGCAGCTTTTCTTTCTGGCCCAGAGGTGGGAGTGCAGTCCGGGGCCGGGGTGGCGGGGGTGTTCCATTCACGGCTGAGTGGCTAAGAGACAAAAGCCCCCAACCATGTCAATCTTCCCTCCGCGGGTGAGAGAACACCCCCAGCGTCCGACACTCCGACCCGCGGAATAGGTGGGCCTCACGATCCCCCGAGTGAGCCCCCGGCAGGCCCCGGCCTTGGAGCGAGCTTGTCTGCCAAACCAGACCACGAAGGAGTAACCCCTTTTAAAGGGTCTCACCGTCCGGGAAGGCGCAGCCGGCCCAGAGCTCCTGCTCAGCCTGAGGAACAGGCTGCCCAGCACCTGCCCTCTTCCGGCCGGGCCTGGAGAAGGGAGTGTCTGTTTCCTCCCAGGCCCCGGTCCTGCGTGAGAGCCGCCCAGGTCTGTCCCCAGCACGGAGGCTGGCCTCGTTCAGGGCCGAAGTGTCAGGTGGGTGGGGAACTGTCCTACCCTCCCCGTGGCACATTAAAAGTCAGTTTGGGCCCTAGCTGGTTTGGCTCAGTGGGTAGAGCATCAGCCTGGGGACTGAAGGGTCCCAGGTTCGATTCTGGTCAAGGGCACATGCCTAGGTTGTGGGCTTGATCCCCAGTAGGAAGTGTGCAGGAGGCAGCCAATCCATGATTCTCTCTCATCATTGATGTTTCTATCTCTCTTTCCCTCTCCCTTCCTGTGTGAAATCAATAAAGTTATATTTGAAAAACAAAGTCAATTTGGTGGATTTGACCCCCATGGGAGGTGATTGGGTTGAGGTGAGGTCACGAGGGTGCCTGCCCCTGCCCCCGCGATGGGAGACAGGGAGAGACGGCTGGGTGCAGCTGACGCCCAGCTCGGCCCAGGCCAGCGGGCACTGGGCCTCTGGCCCAGGGCAGCCTGGGGGAGAGAAAGAAAGTTGTCTCTCTTGATGCTAAATGAGGGAACAAAGCACTCGTGATGCTCTTTGTTTTGAAAGCTCTTATGTTTGAAATGATAAGAGGTTTAAACACTGTCATTTTGGAGTTAGTTTTTGTTGTTATCGATGCCCCGAGGGGCCCAAGCCCAGTGGACGAGGCAGCCTCCAGGGCCAGGCACACCCGCCCATTCCCCGGCTCCTCCTGTGAACTGGACCCGCCACCCCCAATGCTGCGTCAGATGTTGGGGAGCCACGTCAGGGTCTGGAGATGGGAGGAATGAGGAAACTGAGGGAAAAGGCTGCCTCCTCTTTGCTGCAGGGGAAGGCACAGGCCTGGGTGGCAGCCGCCCAGCAGTGAGCCGCGGTCTTGGAAGGGAAGGGAGGGGCGTTCACAGCCTAGTAACAGAGAAGGGCGCCGCCTGGGCCCGGGGGTGGGGAGAAGGCCTGGGCAGGGATGGAGCTCAGTGCCCCGTGCCACTGCCCCTCTGGCGCCCTGTGCCGGGGCATCCCACCCGCTGGACAGGGAGGGGGTCGGCAGGTCGCTGGAAGCATTTAGGACAGCGTCTCGTTGCTCTCGCCTTCCTGCAGGCCCGGGACCCGGAGCCCTGGGATTGGCATCCACGCCCTTAGGAGAGGCGACCCCTCAGCCCAGCTCGGGTTTCATGGTTTTGTTTTTGTTTTTAATAAACAATTTTATTGGTTTCAGAGAGGAAGGGAGAGGGAGAGAGAGACAGAAACATCAGTGATGAGAGAGTCAGTAATTGGCTTCTTCCTGCCTGCATTCTGGGCATGTGCCCTGACCAGGAATCCCACTGAGACCTCCTGGTCCGTAGGCCGACGCCCCACCACTGGGCCACCAGGGCCGGGCCCAGCGCGGGTTTCTATTGAAGAGCCCGCCCCTCCCAGTTGGTAGCCTCCCCTTATGAGGACCCTGTGGAGCCCACCTAGTCGCGTGGCAGCGTCCACCGGGCAGGCCCAGGGCCTCTCCCGCCCATGGGGCAGTCACCCGGCACCTGGTCTGCCACCCCCGTCCCGGCTCCCGGGCAGGAGCGCCAGGCGGTCAGAGCCCCGGCCACGGGTGTCGGGTCGTCACTGACACTCCGTGTGGAACAAGCCCAATCTCCTGACCCTGCAGACGGGGAGCGGAGGGCTGGGGTGTGTAACTAGCCCACAGCTCACAGCTGAGTTAGCGGCGCCTGGGACCGGCTGTGGTTCTGGGCTGGGAGAGCTCTGTGCAGGGAGAGGCTGGAGAAGGCTGCCACCTCCGGGCAGCTCTCCAGGCTGCAGGGGCCAGAGCTGAAGCCCTCCCCTCCCTCCTGAGTCCCGCCCTCCTCTGGGACCTGTGATCTGACGCTCTATCCACTGAGCCAAACCGGCTGGGGCCACATTTATCACTTTAAGAGTCAGGAATAGGTTCCTTCCTGGTGACGATTTCCCTGATGTTAGAAACTAGGGTGGTCTCCAACTGTTACGAGTACAAATAGATTCCGTGGGAAAATATTTATAGTTAACATGATAATTTATAGCTCAGTATATCTGTCTCTATTTAGATAGATAAATATATCTGTTTTTCAAAGTGGCATTAGCAGCTGTAAAGGTGGGAGAGGCGATGTGACTATGGTTTCATGTTGCCAAAGAGACATTCAAGGACATGGAGCCAAGGGGCAGTTCCACCAGGGTGAGACCCCTGGCCTGTGCACGTAATACCCACCTTGGCCACCAGGGGTCCGCCTTTCGCAGTCTGTTTCCCCCTTGGAACCCATTTGCTCCCTCAGGCAAACCCAGCAAAGACATGGTCCTCTCTCAGTTGGAAACATCTGTCTTTTACACATATTTTTATTGATTTCAGAGAGGAAGGAAGAAGCATAGAAACAGCAATGATGAGAGAGAATCACTGATCGGCTGCCTCCCGCACGGCCCCCACTGGTGCCAAGCCCACAACCCAGGCCTGTGCCCTGACCGGGAATTGAACCATGACCTCCTGGTTCATAGGTCGATGCTCAACCACTGAGCCACCCGGGCTGGGCAGAAGCCGCTGTCTTTTGGAGAATAATGCTGAGCATATTCCTGATCTTAAAAGCTCTCACTGGAGAAAATAATAAATAACAAAGATGAGAGGAGCAATTGGCCAGGTGCTGCCTCCCGGATATAACTATTGTCAAATGTACTCGGGTCTTTTTCTACCCTATGTGTGACGTTAGCAACAATTCCTGCTACTCTGGGACTGGCACCGTCCCGAAGGTTTTCTATAGATTAACGCATTGAATCTTCACCCCAGACTGAGAAGGGGGGACAATTTTTCCCGTCATTCTTTTATAGATAGTATTTGTACAGCCTGATTGATATACATGTGATATCTCATAAATGCCACCGTTTCGGGGATGTAGTTTAGTATGTTTTAGTATATTCATGGAGCTGTACAGCCATCCCATGATTTAATTTTAGAACATTTTTGATCCCTCAAAAAGAAATGCCGTACACATTAATAGTCAACCGTCATTTCCAGCCCTGCCCTTTCCCCAACTAGGAGAGAAGATTCTTTTATTATTAATTAACGAATGAATGGCTTTTTATTGTAGTAAGAACATTTAACATGAGATCTACCCTCGTAACATAATTTTTTTTTATTCTCATCGGAGGATTTTTTTTCCATTGATTTTTAGAGAGAGTGGCGGGGAGGGAGGGAGGGTGGGAGGCAAGGAGGGGGAGAGTCAGAGAAGCATTGATATGAAACATCAGTTGGTTGCCTCCCACACATGCTGGACCAGGGTCAGCGTTGAACCTGCAGCTCAGGTATATACTCTCTCTTTTTTTTAAAAAAATATATTTTATTGATTTTTTACAGAGAGGAAGGGAGAGGGATAGAGTTAGAAACATCAATGAGAGAGAAACATCGATCAGCTGCCTCCTGCACATCTCCCGCTGGGGATGTGCTCGCAACCCAAGTACATGCCCTTGACCTGAATCGAACCTGGGACCTTTCAGTCTGCAGGCCGACGCTCTATCCACTGAGTCAAACGGGTTTCGGCTATACTCTTTTTTAAAAAATATTTTTTTATTTTTTACAGAATGGAAGGGAGAGGGATAGAGAGTTAGAAACATCTATGAGAAAGACACATTGATCAGCTGCTTCCTGCACACCCCCTACTGGGGATGTACCCATAACCAAGGTACATGCCCTTGACCGGAATCGAACCTGGGACCCTTCACTCCCCAGGCCGACGCTCTATCCACGGAGCCAAACCGGCTAGGGCTCAGGTACATACTCTTGACTGGGAATTGAACCTGTGGCCCGTCAGTGTGCGGGCCA